ATCGTCTTTCACCACCTCTACCGCCTTTCACCATTGCTACCATCTTCCACCACCACCGCCGCCACCGCCTTTCACCACCACCACCGCCATCTAGGGATGGCAAAATACCCTGCCCTGTTGGGTACCCGCCCCACCCCGCCCCGTTTAAAACGATTATAGGGATGGTTAAATAGTTTTGGGATGGGGATGTGGTGGTGATGGTGAAAGTCGGAGGTGGTTGTGGTGAAAGGTAGTAGTATTTTTTGGACTTGGAACATGAAGATTTTTTGGGAAGTTATTTTTTTATAAAAATAAAAAATTTAGTTAGGGAATGAAATTGTCATTCCATAGGTTTAGTTGCAAAATGGAAAGTCATTCCATTGGAATGACTATTTCTACTTTAAATTGCATACCACATAAATAAATAGTTGGAATAAACATTTCATAAGGGACATTTATTTAGTAACAATGGAGTATAAAAAGTTGATTTTTTTTTTTTTAAAAAAAGTTAAAAGGGTAATTATAAAAAAAAAAAAAAAAAAATGCATTTATACCTTAAAAAGAAGGGTTAATTTTGTTGGACCAAGAAGGGGGGGTTGAATTGGTCCTAGGAAGTTTCTTCTTCTTTTTCACTTGAGTACAAACATGCATAACATAGAAGATAAAACCAACGCAATCAATCAAATCACAATAACACAAGATATACAAGGAAACCCTATCAATAGGGAAAAACCTTGGTTCTTGGCCTTAGCTAATAAAAGCCTCCACTAGTAATATAAACCTTGTTACACACTCAAATATCTCACTCACTGCGCACACCCTTGTACAAGAATAGATACTAGCTTTCACAACCAATCCACACTCACTAGCTCACCATCTTCACTTGCTGCATACAAGTAGTTACTCACTCAGCTGCCCCACTTTCCAACCACCTTGTACTCACTAGGACACTGACTTTCACTCCCTCTATACACACACAAGATTAAACAATGTGCACACAGGCACTCCCCCAGTCCACAGCCCCTATGCTTGGACACAAAAGCTCTCAAGAGCTAATCAACAATGAAAGAAGGTGTTAACACACCAAATAAAGAACACTTAAGCAGCAAGACAAGATAAGAGTGGAAACTCAGCTATAAGTATGAAACAAAAGAAGCCCTAGCTTCACTTTACTGCAACAAGAAGGGTAGATTAGTCAAATCACAATGTAGCTTCACTTAATGCTCAAACTAGGTTCCCACGGCCTTGAATCAGTCAAATACACTTGCTTGAGTAGATTATACAAGTAGACAAGCAAGGTAGAACAATAACAGCTCCCACAAGGCAAAAACCCTAAAATCAAGGGTATAAAGGTAACTTCACAATGCAGCTCCAAGGATGGCCTCCAAAGGACTTCCACAGCTCTATATAGCCAATATACACTTGCACAAATGTCTTCCACAATAAACTCAGCAAAGAACAATAATTTTGATGCTCAATAGGACAAAACCCTAAAACCAAGGGTAAAGAAGTAACGTCACTTTGCAGCTTCAGAACTGACCTGCACTTGTCACCCATAGCCTTGATATCTTTATACAACCCTGCTCAACAAGATTCACAATGATTGGAGCAAGATGTAACAATGTCACTTCATAAAAGACTTAAACCACAAAATCAAGGGTAGAATGGTCTCTTTACAATGTAGCTTCAATTCAGCCCTGTAAATGCCTTCCACAGTCTTCTATCAACAAAATATACTTGCTTAATTGATGAGCTCAATTCAGATAGCACAATATAGTACTTTCACTTCACAAGTAGCCTTAGGCTCACCAAACTTTAGTATTCAAGCTTTTAAGGGCAGCTTTGTAATTCAGCCTTTAGGACCACCCAAACACTACTCCCCCAGTCTTCAATATGTCATTTACACTTTCTCACACAATGAACTCATTCAACACAGCAAGGTGTAGCTCAGTTTAAGTGAACAGCAGCAATATTAAGGTTATAAAACTGATTCTCAGCAAATGCTACATACAACATTAGTATTGTTCATATTCTCAGCAGCCAAAGGTTCTCACAGCTTTAAAATGATGAATCACACTTGGTTTGAAGCTATGACAAGATAAATCCGCTAGGACTTAACCCTGCAGCTTTTAAATCAGCAAAACAACATACTGCTGCAGGCCTATTTTCAACAACTGTGAAGTTCTTGGTTTGGAGGCAATTCTGAAAATTCGTGATTAGACTTTCTTGTAAATGGCTCTCACAGCTTACATTTATCATAATACACTTGCTTAAATCATCACATCTCAATTTGCTCCAAGGTAATAACAATTTTTAGTTCAAAGAGGGCTTCATAAGTCAGTTTCTGCAGCAACACTGTTGTGAGGGTAATTATGGGATTTCACTATAACCAACTTCTGGATTTTGGTTCTTTCAAGTGTATTTCAACTATATAAACATGCTTAAAAAGATAACACACCAAGCACAGCAATATCTTGCATTTTCAACACCTATATCAGGCTTGTAGACTAGCATAAGCTCAAACTAGTGAGGTTTACAATATCAGATTCTGGAATAGTGGTTTCTCTCACTTAATTTTAACTCAAATAGCCTCAAAGCAACATTTTAATCATGCTTAGATGTTAAACAATCATAGTACATCAAGATTATAGCATGTTAAACTCAGATCAGCAGCATAAACCAATAAAACAAGATTAGCTAGAGATTTGAGATATGAGTTTCAATACCAGCCTTGATATGTAGTTCCAAGCAATCTCAGCTGATGTAAACCACCAAAACACAATTGCTCAGCCCTTGTTCAAGCCCCAGAAGTGACCATAGCAATTTTGAACCTCTTGAACCTCCCTTTGCACCAAAAAATCAGTAGCACTCAACCCTTCTCTTCATCTTCAAATTGTATACAAAGGTTAAAGCGATTTTCTAGTTAAGTTCAGCTCTCTAGACAGATTGAAATCTCAGAAAAGTATATTCATTTTGGCCTCTCGAGAGTTCTTGAAATTTCAGCTTATTTCAGCCTTTTTACTTTTTGGAAGAGGCACACTTTCAAGAAAGCTATAACAGCCTTTATATAGTGACCTTGTTGAAACCCTATTGTAGATAAGGCCTTCTCACTACAGCCAATGAACATACACACACCTTTATCTTTGTAGGACCACAATGCCACATGGCAGCAAGCTGTGCCAACCTCATTTGTACATAAGCTCCTTCAAAAAAACCCCTTTGCTGCTATATATTGCACATCAGGAAAATGCTGAGCTTTATCATATAAATTAAGGCCATTTTGTATAATGCACCTTTTGTGGAGTGTCGCACATAGTCTCAGCAATATGGATTGACCAAGATACCCTTGAGACCATTTATAGAATTACAAGAATGCCCTTTAATAGAAACATCAGAAAACTTTGCTGCAGTTTGTACAAATATATGTAATTCATGAAGTTAGGACTTGTGATGCAATGTACTATTCCCAGCAAGTGTTATTAAAGGTTACACACATGTAGAAAGACTAGAATACTCCTGTAACTCATGAACCTTTAATATCCCTAGGCAGCCCTCTGAAATAGTAATAGTAATGCTGAGAATGTATGGTATACTCTTGACATTGAAAGTGCAAAACCTCTTGATCAAACATGGTTAAACAAATTTCATTCACACCCCTTCAAATTTGGCCAAATATCATCCTTAAATAGCTTTCGAAAGTAACTATCACTTAGGTCCATTTTTCACTTTTCCGTCACAGTTTCCGTTAAAAATATGTAAAATACAATTTTGCCCCTAAATATCCTTTGACTTGGTCAAAAATGCTCTCTAACATAAAAAATAAAAAAAAAAGACTACAATACCCCTAAATACACTACAAATTTATAATTATGGATATATCATATATATATATATATATATATATATATTTATATGTATGTATGTATGATATATATATACCGAGCAGGAATGGACATTTTGGTTGGTGAGAGATCACTTAAACTTCAGACGCAAGGTGGGCTAAAGATGAGCAGTGCTTGGCTGTTGTGGAGTCTCATAATTCCTAATCCCATTGTTTGTGCCTCAGATCCGTATATACACACATTACACACAGAGACACACACATACACACACACACACACACACACATACATCCGCTCCGCCACTGCCACCCACATAGACATCCGTCATCGCCATTGCCGCCGCCACCTCCCACACAATCCCAACCCATCACCAATCGTTGCCGCCACCACTCACACGATCCCAATCCCAACCCAACACCTTCCCAATCCCTCCTCCTCCTTCACCACATAGAGTGATTGTTGTTGTTGGCAAAAACAAGTACCACAATCAGACCAAATTCCATCAAAATTCAAGCATAATGTAGAGCAGAATATTTTTTTTTCTAGTTTATATAGCTGAAAACCCATAAATCAAGATTGTTCTTCATGGGTTTCCAAAAATTAATAATCTAAATTTCTAGAATACTGAGAGAAACAAAGAGATTTTAAAAAACTTATTATGGATCAAAGGAGTTGATATTCTTTATTTTCTTTTCTTCTCTTTGTTTAAACTAATTACATATCAAATCAAGATTGTTCTTCACTTGGGTTTCAGAAATATATATACGTGTCCATATATATATGGTATATCTATATAATTTGTAAATTTATAAAATTTTAGGGATATTTTAGTCTTTTAATCTAATTGTCTAGCCAAAAGAGTTGTTTTGGCAAAGTCAAATGGTATTTACGTCATTTTATATCATGTCAGAATTGTTCAGTTAATAGTTGGAGTGTGAGTAAAAAACGGAACAAAAATTTATAATATAAGTAATAATTATTTTTAAAAAATATTTGAAAATGATATTTGACCAAACTTAAAGTGCCAGTGAAATTAATCCTAAAAGGAAAACATGTGTTTCCAACGAGGACACACGAATAAGAAAGTTTGTGTAATTTAACTTTTAAAAAAATATGCCAATCGGCAAAACGCTATTGGTTGACTTTGGCTACCATAGAGAGTAAGTACGATCTATCAGTTTGCCAAAACCTTGGTTTTATTTTGCCTTTCAATTACCTTACTCGCTTCTCTCATCCAATTTTCGACCACCATTGTTCGTAATTCTCAACTCCAAACCCCCGCAAATTTCCCTTCTCTCTCTATTTCTCTCTCTATATACACACACATACATATATACATGTATATATACAATTCTCATCGAAGGAACGAACGATTATAATCGGAGTTTCGAAACCCTAATATTTCACTTTGGTACTCTAATGGTGCAGATTGTTTCAATTTTCTATTTTGAGCAACGGAGATTCAATTCTTGTCGATAATGGAGGTCTTGAAGGAGAATAATCTGGAATTGGTGGTTTCCAGCTCCACCCCGTCGTTTCAGGACTTGTTGGATTCGCAGCAGGACCTCTTCCGCAGCCAGATCGATCAGCTTCAGAACATCGTCGTCAGACAATGCGAAGTCACTGGCGTCAACCCTCTTTCGCAAGAAATGGTTCGTTACTCCTATCTCTCTCTATTGTTTTTTCTACCGTCTGTTTTGCTGTTGAGAATACAAAGGAAAGAGTAATATAAATCATGTTGAACTGGTTTATGGGAAACAGAAAACTCATCTTATAATCGACAAATAGTTGAATTAGGTTCAGTTGAGTTGCAGATTTGTGTTTATATATATATATATATATATATATATATAAATTCAGCTGTTCAGGGTTTTGTTATTTTGTTGTCTCACTAAAGTTCGGTGCTTTTTTGTTTATTTCAAATTGTTTCTCTATAAGAAATTCCTTGGGGTTGACAAATGGGTGTTTCTTTTGAGGTGGGATTATAATCGGAGTTGCAAGTACTTGGGTCAATGTCCACAAGGAATTTTAAGTGTTTGCAAATGCTAATCATTCGTCCATGACTCCATGTGCATAGAGTGCCATATTTAGGTTAAGTCTTAATTGGTTGATAAGTTGTTGTTAAACTTGAGTTGTTAAATGACATGATTTAAGCCTGAGGCTTTGTATTTCTTTTTCTAGTTTTTGTTCTATATAGAAAGTGAATTTTTTTGGAGTAGATGGCTTTGTAGGGTGATTTAATATATAGCCAAATGTGATCTACAATAGTATCTTGAGATTAGGAAGCTGTCTCATAATACAATTGTTGTACCGTATAAGGAAAGTCCAAGTTGTTTTTAATAAGATTTAATTAAATGTTTGGTGTACATATTACCAAAATTTTCAAGTATTGCTGTTGCCTAGGTTGTTCAATCTGCAGCACACATGAAATGCATTCATGGGTTATATTGTTTGTCTACTGTGAGGGTGCTATGCATGAAGTGTTGAAACTTAAATAATGTGTGAAATCATTAAATTATCGGAAGCAACTTTACTTGTAATGATCTCTCTGTAAAAAAGAAAACAGCCCTCCTAAATGATATTGTAAATCACTAAGATATTAAATTGTTTGATTCCATTTTAGTGATAAGGTACTATACTATTGCTTTCATTTTCACTCCAAATGCCTTACTGTGAGCTATCATTTTAGTATTCTATTTATTTGTGAAGCGGTGCCTAGATGTTCCTGGCATTGAACTCTTTAGTTTTTTAAACTAAGTTAGTCATCTTTCATTTGGTGTAAGAAAGGATCTTTCTTGTACTATATTTTAATAAATGATTGAATATTCATATGTATTCCGATTACTCATCCTTTTTTCTTTTTTTTTTCGTTTTTTTGTTCACGTGCAGGCAGCTGGAGCTCTGTCAATTAAAATCGGTAAGTGCTGGTAGTGGCATTGTTATTGGTAGAAAATTATCAGTTTCTTGTCAATTTATTGTTTATAGTTTTAATTCATGAATTAGAAGTTAATATTTGTTATATCTGTGTATAATTTAATTCAATTTTATGTTTCTCTTATGTTAGTGGGGTTATTAAGAGCGCCTCACCAAGTTCATTTTGTGTAGAGCAAAATTATCAAGTTAACTACTTTTTGAACATGTCAATACATTTACTGGATTACCAATTGTCTGAGGATGATCTTTCTAATTGTTTCTTATGTCCTTTGTCTCTTTAGGATAGGATTGTAACTGGTTATGAATTACTTCAATCAAATTAGTTGAATGTGCTCTAACTGACACCCTTGTGATTCGCAATGATTTTTTATTTTTTTTTTCCCTACAAGACTGGTCTTAAAAAAATACTATTCATGATTTAAGTCTTTTGACTCTTGATCCACGTCATTTTTTAAAGCACTTGTAGTACAAGTAATGGTGATTGTTCAATGCAATTAATAGTTTTGCAACTTGCAGGAAAAAGACCCAGGGATTTGCTAAATCCTAAGGCTGTAAAGTATATGCAGTCGGTCTTCTCTATCAAAGATGCAATTAGCAAGAAGGAATCCCGTGAGATCAGTGCTCTTTTTGGTGTTACAGTCACGCAGGTTTCTTTTACCTCTACCTTCTTTTTTGTTTTTCTTTCATTTCTGTCTTTTTGTTATATGTTAGTTTTAGAATAAAGCATGTGCAAGTACTCCAGCATCCCTTGAAAAAGGTGATCCCCTTGTTAATGTTTGCTTACATTTTGTTTTGTTATTGATATTTAGGTTCGGGATTTTTTTAATGGTCAGCGTTCTAGAGTGAGGAAGTCTGTACGGTTGTCAAGGGAGAAGGCACTTCGAGCTAATGCATGTAAGGAAGAAGTGCAAGATGGAGTCTCAACAAGTTCTGACCCTATGATACCTATTAATACAGTTCCCTTAAACTCTGTTGGTCCTACCAATGTTGAGGGACCTTCATGCTCTACACAGGATGAAATTTTACCTGGCATAGATGATTCGGATAAAAATTTCATTGAGAATATTTTTGCTATGATGCGGAATGAAGAAACATTCTCTGGACAGGTGAAATTGATGGAGTGGATCTTGCAGGTTCAAAATTCTTCAGTACTAAATTGGTACATGCCACAAATCTTTATGAACATGGAAATTCGTTGTTGTATTCTGGTTGTAGGCTATATTCCTTGACCTGGTTACGCTATCATCTACTTGCAGGTTCTTAACCAAAGGTAGTGTAATGATTTTAGCAACGTGGTTGAGTCAAGCAGCAACTGAAGAACAAACAAGTGTTCTTCATGTCATTCTTAAGGTATATGTGTCCGTGGTAATGATTTGCTACACGCTTCTGAAATGTTTCACTGGATTTTAATGGTTAATTTGCCATTGTCATCAGGTTCTTTGTCACCTTCCACTACATAAAGCTGTGCCTGTACATATGTCAGCAATACTACAAAGTGTTAACAGACTGCGTTTTTACAGGACATCTGGTGTGTTTTTGTCACAGATACTTGCCCTTTGTTCTTTCCTCTCTCTCTCATATAAATATATGTATGTATATATATATATATATATATTACCACCTTATAGTCAAGTTAGCATCCATTTACTTTATGATGTCAAGAATCATACCTTAATTTAATCCAAGATTTGAGCCTCGTGATCATATTGTGTGGAGAAACCTGAATATCATAAGGACATTTAAGCTACTGGAGAGAGGTTTTCAATGAAGGCCATTGATGACGAAGTCGATAATAGAACGGTGGACCTTCAATTTTTTGTTTTTGATTATGTTTGTCAATCCTAATTACAACTGTCGAATATTAAAAGGAGCTTTCTCATAATTGAAGATGTTCAATAAGCCTGTCAATTATGCCCCTGTTAACAGATTAATAAATTATTAACTTAGTTAATTGTGGATTTCATGAAACCTTTCAAAGATAAATGTCAACTTGTGCCAAATAAATAGCATCATATATGACAACCTTGAAAAGATGTATTAAATGTGGATGACAGAGTTGAAAATCACTGATTTCATCATATTTGATACGCCATGACCTGTTAATTGAGTTTGCCTCCATGGATAGGGCTTTTTTTTTTTTTTTTTGTTAACTATGGATGGGGCTTTTACGTTTTACTCAAATAAAGAATACCCTAATATATCACGAAAACACTTATTTATTTATTTATTTTATTTAAACACATCTAAACTTATATTGATTTTATTTTGTGTTGTGTTGTGTGTGTAGAATGTTTTACTTAAATATTTTTTGTTTATTTTTCTTGGAAAGGGGGTGTGGGTGTGAATTCTTGATACCTGGCAGTTTCATGTACCTAGATATTCTGATTTACTGATCGCGTCAAATGCGTTCATGTATGTACTGAGAAGATGTGAGGAACTGAGAAGGGACTCAATGGAATATAAACAGATGTGATTTTATAGTGGCCATTTAGAAATGAGCTTATTGTTAAGACAGGGTTGGCGAAATTTGATCTGAAAAGTTTGCTCTATTATTCTTTTCTTTTTTTTTCTTTTTTTTTTTTTTTCGCATGCTTCAATTGCTGTAATTCAGAGTTTCCTTTTTATATGGAATAGAAAACAAAAATTTTCTTTCTCTGTATTCCTTATATGCTCTTTGTGATATTTTTGAATCTCATTTATCTGATTTGAAGATCAGACATTTCAAACAGGGCAAGGATTCTGTTATCTAGATGGAGCAAAGTTTTTGCAAGAAGTCAGGCTATGAAGAAACCCAATGCCAAGAAATCTTTGAGCGATGTACAGAATGAGAGGCTGTTGCAGCAGAGGCAAGCCCATTTCTTTAATTCTTTGTGAAATCAGATTTTTCTCATTTAGTTTTTCATTATTGTTCTCTGATCATGTGCAGCATTGGTGAAATTATGGACAATGAAATATGGGAGTCAAAAATTGATATTTCTGTAAGTATAGAAATCAAATGACTCATGCTGCTTCAATCTTTTTTGTTGTGTGTTGTTTCTTGATTTTCTTTCTTGCTCTGTAGGAAGACAATCTTGCTCCCTCATATGAAGGTTCAGAGAATATTAGGTATGCATATTACTTGATGATCAGATGCCATTCAGTCTGATTGAAATTGATTTGGTTGTTGTGGATGTATTAAGAATGAATTTATTAAACAGGAAGTTGGAATCTTCTCAGCCTCTTAAACTGCTCACAGCCTCCACAGATGATTCTAGTAAGAAGCTTATTCGAGGGGTATCTTCATCCCGTATCCTTAGGATTTCGGATAAACTTTTTGAAAAATTAATTATATGTTTTGACTTATATAGCCTTCTAAATACAAAATAAAAAATGTATATAAAATTTATTGTTTAACAAAAGTAGTCACATCAACTTTTTTGTCAAGTTATTCAACAATACAAAGCCTAGTTTATAGGGTGTTTAAAAATAACACAAGTAGCAATGGCAGTTGGAATCAGTGTTTTAATTTATTATGAATCAGGTTGTTTCCTTATAAAAAGATAAAACGATTATAAATTAAGAAGCATGGATATTGACACAGGATACAAACACGATATGACCTTATAAAAAGATAAAACGATTATAAATTAAGAAGCATGGATATTGACACAGGATACAAACACGATATGACATGGATATGGACACGAAATGACATGGATACATCGTCATGAAAATCTTAGTGAAAGTAGGATTTGGCAATAGAATATATGTATGTTTTGTACAAAAAATCATATTATACATGAAAAATAAATGTTATACGACTGTAAGGTGAATTCGTAACTTTTAAATCATATAGATAATATCATCCTTGTCACATAGAGAAAAGAAATAACACATATATGACTTAAATATGGATGTGCGCATGTATACAAATATGTTTATGTGTGTGTGTGTGTGTTTGTGGACACATATTTTGATTATTCCTCTCCCATTCTTATTTCCATCTACTCCTTTTATAAAAATATTCTTTTTAAAAAAAAAAAAAAAAATCGATTTAAATTTAAATAAATTTGTTATAACTATAATTTGATTTTTCTTTCAACACTACATTGAAATAAAGGAAAATTAAGAAAATTTTGTGGTGTCTGCTGACATTTTGTCTGCTTGTGTAGATAGGTTTAAATTCAGAGTAGATCCTTTAAGGATATGATTTTCACACTACACAAAAGTCTTGCACCCAACTTGATTTTGTCAATGAAGGAAATGACACAATTCTTTTCAAAAGTGGAGTGCAAGAGTACTTTTTGGGATAATCGTGGACTGTAATAGTACTTTTGAGGGACAAGTTTGTCATTTCCTTTTTTTATTTTATTTTAAAGTAATTGTAGTGTAAGAGTACTTTTTGGAAGTAGAGACATTGGCTACCTTAATCTCCCTCGCACACAAAAACACAGAAGCGCACACGTCATTTGTTTCTTAATTTAGTGCCTTTGAAGTTGTCAGAATTTGATTTGTATTTACTCTTTACTTGTGTTCTGAACCCAGGAGGTATTTATTTATGTTATTACTGTTCTTAATTCTCCCCTTTTGGGAAGAATTGTTTGCTTTAGAGTAATGCATACCTACTAAAATTACCATAGGTGCTTAGGTAATACTTTATTTTTTTTCTTAGTTAGGTCACAATAAATGCAGTGAGAAAATGTCTGGAAATTATGTAGCCAATAAGAATTCTAATTACTAGAAAAGGTTAGTTATCTTATATGTAAGATCAATAATGTGATCAAGTTATAGAAGAAAGACGTGTTATCTTATAAGTTTCTCAAGTCTTGCCAATTTGAAAATTTTTCATTAATATGAGATCAAAAAATATAATGTAGCCAGAAAAAAATAATAATAATAATAAAAAAACTAAATAAAAAATTAAAGGAAAAATTTGACGACGAGTGGTGGGGTCTTGTTATTAGTGCTGTTAAATATGAGTATAAAGTTGTAAGTACTTGAAGTCCCCTGGTAACTTGTAATCCAAGTTCTGACAGTGAGTGGACTGGTACAGCCCCCGAATTTTCATTGTCGCAAGGCTGTCAGTTGCTTATTGTTTCCTCCTGTTTTTGCTGATTCAAGGTTGTTGATTGTAATGGGTGTCTCTAAGCTTTTAGTTTTGGCATGATGTTTATTTTAGCTTTGTTCATAATGTCAAATTTCGAAGCTTTGAATCCATTGTTAAAGTCTCCAGTTTGATTCCATGGAACGAAAATAAGTCCTCTCAAATTTTATGTGGACAAAATCAAGAGCACAACTGCCGTAAAAGAAAAAAGATATTAATCAAAATCAAAATCAAAATCAAGAGCTCAATTTATTTATTTTCTTTTTTATATTTCACTGTTGAGAGGAGATTGAGTAAAAGAGGATTATTATCTCATTTTATTCTGAAGAAGGCCATACTCAAGATCTGCTATTATAAAGAAAGCATGAATGTGTTTTAACCAATAAATTAATTATATATCCAATTCATAGTGGTTGGCTGATCATCTTATTGTCGCATGTTGTGTTGGCAAATGCATACAATGAGATGATTTTCCTGATGTATGGGTAACTATTGGTTTATTTTTTACTCTTTCCTGATATAAAGGCTAATACGTGCTGGAGCACTGGTCCCTGGAAGCCTTACATTTGCTGAAATGACATTTCTTACTTTTGACCTGGAGAATGACAGATGACTAATATTAGTATCTTAAGCTGAACTCGTACGTTTTTAGCCAATCCAACCTCAAGGAGAAATCAACTTCAAATAAACTGTTTTGTCCTTCCATGGTTAGATGCAGATGCTGTATCTGAAGGAAGTGAAGTACATGACTTTAAGGCTAAAATATGTCATCTAAAAAGGTTATCAAAATAAAAGGCATCAAAAAATAGAAGGGACTGCTTAATGATGAGATAAACTAACGAGTACTTTCCAGGAAGGATAACAATAATGTGATATCTCAATTGCCCAAAAGACCTCTTTTAGCAAGGAAATTAGCTTGTGAATTAGCAGGTTTCAATATTAAACATCCAAATTAATCATATAGATGTGCTCTTATGGGGCATTAGGGGAAGCCAAAATGTTTGCTCTTCTGGTAGGATGGTGCAATTCTGATTCTGAGAGTGAGTTGAAAAGCCATTAAATTGGATACTGATGTCCATGACGAGCCTGCATATGGACCTTCTTCGAGCACTGTCTTGTTGAAATTTTCCTGCACTGTTTTATTCTCTTCTTAGCTGTACTATAAAGAACCTGAGAAAACTGACTTCCATGGACAACCAGTGCAGACATCGAGAACCATAGAAGAAAACACTATTATGAACCCTACTCAATCATGATTGAATGAACGGATGATAATGTCACTTTTGTAATGATGATATGATAAACTGTTTGCAGTATGACTAATTCTTCTAATGATGATATGCAGACTTAAAAAATTAGATATAATTGGAGACATAGCTTGTAATAAAAAAGAACATCCTTACAAATGGGATGAAGGCAAGGATGATGAATGTGATTAATTTATCTAGCTGGAAGAATGTACAGGAAGTTCTAATACTGCGTTGATGATTCTGATTTTTCACGAGGCAATGCTCTTACTAGGACCAATTTTTGGGAGGAGATGCGGAAAACCATATTAATGTATTAGGTATTTGACCAAAAGGGGATAATTGCAATGGTGTGAATGTTAAACTAGAAGCAGGATTTATTTACCCAAAAAAAAACTAGAAGCAGCAGTTGCACTAGAATGAACTATTAGATTTAGGGTTTTACAACTAAGGTCTGAAGAAGAATCATTGTGTCCTCCACCTAGAAGTGGGGAATGGCCATAATAATTAGTCATGGATGCTATTTTAAACCCAAAGAGGAGATATGGAAATGAGCAACTGCAGTCACTTTCTTATCAAAGATTTAATCATTAAAAACTGCAACGTTGTTACCTGATACAGGAATGAATTGAGGGCAACAGTAGTACAAATTTATATATAGTGAGTGCTAGCTAAGAAGTCTGATGCCGTTGTGATTCTTAACCCCAAAATGGGACTGGGTTAGCTTTTGGATTAGGGTACATCATACATACTGACTAAGTGATCTTTCTTTGTCATCGTCGGTATTGAGACACAGGAAACTTTTTCAGAGTCCCCCCCCAACAACCCCAACCCCAACCCCAACCCAACAAACAAACCGATTTTCTCAAAACGGCATAGCCTAATTACACATGCTTCAAACACCAAGTTTTTTTTTGGTTGCATCTAATATTGAAAAGTAGAAAGCTGGAAAAACATGTGATTTATAAGTTTGGTTAATCTGTTGGTATGTTCTATTGGCTGAATCTCTTTGCAATATCTCTGTTCTGCTCTTCTACATCTAAATAACTCAAAAAGAGACTTAGATTATGCATTATTTAATTTTCCAATTATGGAAGAGCATAGAGATCATTGCCTTAGCTAGTTACAGAAACCAGAGAGCGCAGAAAAGTTCTGCTGGTGGAACAACCTGGCCAAAAACCGGGTGTAAGAAGCTCACAGGTGACAAGGTCAGTGCCTGCAAATCAAGGCCGTCCGTTGTCGGCCGATGATATCCAAAAAGCAAAAATGCGTGCTCAATTCATGCAAAGCAAATATGGAAAAACAAGTACCTCTTCTAATGAAGGGCACCAAGTGAAGATTGAAGGTCCAAACAGATTGCCTTCCCAAGCTTGCACTTTCTTTCCAGCATCCAGAGCTGACGCTCGGTCTAAAATTGAGGAACACAAGAAGTCTGTGATGGTTCCTTCAAAGGTTTCTAATCAACAGGAATCTCCACTTGATAAGATGATTTTGGACCCAGATGAACCTTTATGGAAGAAATGCAAGAGGGTCCAAATTCCATGGCTGACACCACCAGGTACATTTGCTTTTAGTGCTTTTTATTGGCTCACTTTAACTGTCTATCAAATCGTTTTGGTGTAGAAAAGACTATCAAGCAGTTCACAAGTGAAAATAAAGACCTTTTTAGATGTGTCCTGAAATTAAAGGAAAAGAGATAATACAATATGAGTACTTTCCTGCATACACAGAGAGATTCAACTGTTTCCCCGCCACTTTTCCCTTCTAATATATATTTTTTTCTTTTCCTTTTTGACAAAGTCATTTATTGGTGGAAAATTTTGGATCAGCTCCATTGTAAACTATTTTTCTGACTATCAGAACAAGGAGTTGTACAAATATGATTCTTGGTTACACAAATCTAATATTCACGGACAATTTGAGGCTGAACCTATGTTACGTGGACTCTGGTACGTGTGTCGGGTATGGGTACGTATGTATGCGTCGGACGTGTCAAATCTCCAAACAGAAGGACACATGGCCACTGCTAAATATTTATTTTATTTTATTTTCTAGAATAAAGTGATGTTATGTAACAAAATGTTCAAATAGGCATTTAACTCATTTTAAAGTAATAATATAATAAAATTGAATGATTGGATACGCTTCTTAATTAAATGTCCAACCAAAAGTGTCGGACGCGTATCCCATACCCATGTCCGAGCAATATGTGTCTGACATGGATGTCCTGATAGAGAGAGAAGAGATCAATCTATAACAATATGACCTAAAGAAACCTTTTGATCGAAGCATTTTCTGGGATTAACTTCTTTACTTCTAATAAATAGGGCATCAAATGGATGAGGTTTTTGTTCCCATTTTGATACCTACTTTTCAAAGTCATTGGATGGTGAAAACTCCCTAGTGATTGGATTTTGACACGTACTTCCTGTTCCCATGTGAAAGATCTTGTACATGGTAGAGCAAGTTTATTGTGAGAGCACTCTCATTATGAGCTCATGCCCACAGCTGTTGGATTGAGAAGCAGCTTCTGGAAACAACAATCTCATTATAACTTTTATTTAACCTAGTAAAGGTTCAATATTGCATATTAACTAATATTCTCCCAATTCTTCTGGCTATGTTAGCTTTACGGTGCTGTTGGGGCTATGTTACATGGACTTGGGTACATGTTTCTGGTACGGGAATGTATCAATGCGTCGGACGTGTGAAATCTCTTAACAGAAGGACACACAGACACCACTAAATATTCATTTTATTTAGTTATTTTATTTTATTTTCTAGAGTAAAAGAATGTTTATATCTAATATAGTGTTCAATATAGGATTTTAACTCATTTTAAAGTAATAATATAATATAATAAAATGATTGGATATGCTTTTTAAGTACATGTCCAACTAAAAGTGCTGGACACGTATCTCATACCTATGTCCGAGCATTGTGTGTCTAGCACGGGTATTCACTACTTTTGAAGCGTCCATGTAACATAGTGTTGGGGTACGATGAGGTGGGGATTGTTATGGTTGAGACCAAACTACATTTCATAAAACTACAGATAACCACTTTAATGCTTTGATGGAGCAAAATGTTGTTTGATTAGGGTTGTGGGCCTGTTTCAAAAAAAATTGCCTTACCTCGAGGCAGAAAATTCTCAGATCTCTTTGCACTTTATGAACATTTATCAGACCATATAAATGATATGATTTTTCTCCCAATAAGTTAAAGTCAAATTTGTATAATTAACGCCATTGTTCCAATTATCAATTTAGCAAGGATTTTCACATTGAATTCTTAAATCGGTGCTCCTGATGTTTTCCTCGAGAAGCATTGGAATAGAAGGGGGTGAGGGTGGGCAGCATAGAAGCACTTCACTACATAAATTTAAATCAGTAGCTTTATTCGTTTTCTTTCACTCAAACAGGTGAGCACCTTGTTTGTTGACTAAAAAGTATGAGCAATTCCATTTTATTTTAAAATATGAGCAATTATAATTTATCTTTTGCTGCCGAATATATCTCAGGTAATAGATTTGCAAATTCTAGCATGGATTTGAAGTGGAAGTGTATCTAATGTTATGATTTTATCTGATTTCTCAAGCTAAATCTGGGATTATGTTGGGTTTTTTTTTTTTTATCCCGAAAACGTCAACTTCTACAAGCATGGATTTGCATGGATTTGACTGAAACTGATAGATAAATTGGTTGTTTGGGGGATCAGTGTAGCGCAACCTATATAAATGCAGAATTTGCAGATGAATTGACTACAGGGAACATGTTTAATGGACTGAAAATTCACAGCTTGGTAAATTAATTTAAATAACTTGCCTCTAGCTTAACCTGTCAATTTTTTATTTTTGACTAACAAAAAAACAAATTCCTTTATTTATTTTAATCACACTTACAACTTCAAAATTAGGTCAATGATATCGTGATAGAGCAGGTTTTGTTCTATAATTGAAGTCAACTGATTTTTTTGAGAATGTAAAGTAGGCAATTCGTGGTCATCTGATTATGGATGTTGACTTCTACATGGTGCGAAACAAATCGGGTTATGAATAAGTTGTCAAACTTGTCTACTTCATATGGCTGTTTTTGTTGGACAGTGACCGCTGGAAGAAAAAACTATATATATATAGATCAATTACTCATGCTGTAAATAATCCACAGCAAGAAAAAACAATGAATTTTGACAGATTTGTCTACGGTTTCGTGTTTTCTCTGCGGATTTCAGCCTTCTCTGCCTTTTTTCCTTTATGCAGAGATGAGGATCGATGGTGACTGGAGACTTGGCAGTGGAGAGAGCAGCAAAGAGGTTGAAGTTCAGAAAAACAGAATATGCCGGGAGAAGGAAATTGTCTACAATACAGTGCAGGAAATTCCAGCCAATCCCAAGGAACCGTGGGACCGTGAGATGGATTATGATGATACATTAACCCCAGAAATCCCAACTGAACAGCTGCCAGATGCTGATGGTGCCGAACCAATGGCTTCCTCTAGTGAAAATAAAAACATTTCCGTTACTCCGGCCACCACCACCACCGCGACATCATCTCAGAATGGTAATGGGGGCATGCCGGAACCAGATCTCGAGTTGCTTGCCGTGTTGCTTAAAAACCCAGAATTGGTTTTTGCCTTGACGTCCGGCCAAGGTGGTGGTAATTTGTCGAGTGAGGATACTGTGAAGCTGCTCGATATGATCAAGGTTAATGGGGTCGGTGGACTGGGTAATGTAAATGGGTTAGGCACAATGGCGGAGGAGAAGGTTGAAGTTTCTCTCCCATCCCCAACTCCTTCCAGCGATCCTGTAACGGTGCGTCATTTAGGCACATGCTGTCGAATTTGTGACAATTTACGAATTAGTATCAATATCATCTTCTTCATCGTCATCTTCTTCTTCTTCCTCTCTCTAAACAATAAATAATGAATACATGTCCAAACCATGGTCAAATCGTAAAATAATGCTTAGGATGGTGTTAATAAGTTTGTTTACGGGATATGGCATATCCTGCTTTTAGGATCACCAAGTGGTGTCTGCAACTAATGGGTCCTACATTCCTGTTTGAAAAAACCACCATCCAATCTGATCGGACCCTTAACGGTAAAATATTTCAAACATAGGCTGGATTGAGAAAGGAAAGCCATTGCGAGGGTATGCCCTTCGTTCCAAATTCGACGAGGGCATCTCTCACCCGCGAAGAAGTTTCATCGATGTGGGGACTGAAATTTTCCTCAAATGGGAACAGTTGATGCATCTATTCACTGCATGGTGCTGTCAAAGTAGTTTCACTAATAATTAACTGGATTTCTCATTATTACTAAATTTGCCTGGGTTTACTAATAAATATTTGTTGTTTTTTTTTCTTTTTTCTTTTTTTGAAATGCAGAGTGGATGGAGATCAGAAGTTGCCAAAAATCCCTTTTCACGGCAAAGTTCAGTAACAAACAGAGAAGCATATGTCATCCCAGGAATTGCTGGAACTGAAGAAGAAAAGCGTACTGCAACCAGCTCGATGCGGCCTGAAATTCGGTCCGCTGACATCATGGTACCCTACCAGCCAGAAAATTTCCCAACATTATCCCAGCAAACAATCCCTCCATTCCGGTTTCCCCAAACACCTACTTCCTTACCCGAAAGACAGATTCATACTTCTTCTCCAAATATACCTTTACCCAATTTTCAAGCTGCAAACTCACCTATGAGGCGGGCTGAAACGTTGGGGCACGTTAAGCCAGCACCGGTGTCAATCGTGTTGAATACTCCAGAGAGACAGCCCATTGAATTTTCTATTCCCCCTTTGTTGCCAACACGCCCACAAACACAGCCGCATCAGCCTCACCAAATGCCAATGCCCGAGCCTCTGCCTTCGGCACATTCTTGGAGTGTGAGGCAGGGTTTCATTTCGAATCCTCATTCTCAAGCTAACCATGACAATTATAATGCATTGGTTCCAGGACCTCCAGGTCATCGGGGGAGAGATGAATATATGGGTGAACCCGGGTATGAAACATGGAGTCCCGAAAATAGTCCGACTAGATCTCCCGAGTACGTCTCAGGATGGAACAGAATGAATTCGGGTCATAATTATAGGCCAGACCAGTCAAGACCGAGGAATTCTTCCCGGTACCGGGATCATAATAGGTACGGAGACAGAAGGTGGCGCGAACGGGACCGTGACAGGAGGAGATGAGTGTAAAGCTTTAATGGCGGGAGGGTGGAACTACCTGGCAGAGTGGATGTGTTTTGGGGATGGGAGTTCTTTGAAATTTGGAATGGCGTACAAGGATGGGCTTTGGCGTCAGGCAGAACACTATAACTACTAAAACTTTATCCTGTATACTGCCTTTCCAATTGAGGGGGAAAAAAACTGCCTTTCCAATTGCGAAAATATTGAGAAGTTCATTTTTGTTTTTTATTCAATTGGGTAAAATCATTTTAGACATGCTAAATTTATATTGTTATTCACTGAGTGAAATGAATTCAGACATGCCAAGTTCGTATAGCTATATCATCTTATTCTTGCTTGAATAATAAGAAGGGAAGAGGAAAATAATTTTGATTTTGTAAGACTATAACCTTCTAACTCTTTTTGTTTCTCCTAAAAAGAAAATGAAGGCAAAGGATCAAATTCCTTTTAAATATTCCTTTTTGCAAAGGATCAAATTCCTTTTAAATATTCCTTTTTTTTTTTCTGCCTTTTAAATATTTCTCTTGTTCATATAAAAAATAAAAAAATAAATAATCAGTTACGACAATCATTTATTCTTCTCTCTGGTTATTCCAATAAGAGAGAATTAACATCACCACCTCTTTCTTTTACTTTTTCTAGCTAATATAATTTGAATAGGTTCATTTTCCCCCGAGGTGTCCAAACAATTACAGGACAAGTAAAAAGACAGCATTTTGATGAGTTTTGAGTTTTGACACGTGTAGAGTGTTGTGTGTGTGGGGGGGGGGTTGGGGTTCAAAAAAACAGAAGCTTGTACGGTCCTAAGTGAAGCTCTATTTTTAAGCCTTAAAAGTGCCAGTTGTGCCGGTTTGGCGTTGTTGTTGTAATGATAAAAGCACTTTTATGAGTAGAGCAGTCATAAAAGTGCTGTTAGTAAAAACATGTTACATGTTTGGTGATGCATTATATAAAGCACTTTTTATACTTAAAGTAGTCTTAAATTTGTTCGTAATAGTATTGCTTAAAACACTTTTATTACTAATTTTACTGTATTACTCATACAATAATAAGGTGTGCATTAGTCAAATACAATTTCATTCTCTTAAATCAATAGTTCGAAAAATACTCTTATATGCTTTTATAGAGGATTCTTAACTAATAAATAAATACAAAATCTTCGGATACCACGAATGTTTTTGAAAAATCCAAGTTTGAATTTTTTAGATAAATGTAATTTACAAAATATTTATAATTTAGAATCTTATAAGCTAGATGTAAAATTGTGTTATAAATGTAAAAAATGAAAAGTGGGCTATAAATATTCATAGGAGATTGGATATGAAATCAGGCTAGCAATAGTAGTCCTCACACTATTGCTATACTTATTTTTAAATGTTCAATATATATATATATATAAAATAGGTGTTATACAATGACAGAGTTCCAACTAAAAATATTAGATACCAAACTCTACTCAAACGCCAATTTTAAATGTTCCAATTTCCAACTTTATCAAAACGCACCTTTTTTATTTATTAAACGTCTACTCCTAAGAGTGCGTTTTTTATTTACCAAACACTGCTGAATGCTATTTTTCAAATTAAACGCGCTTTTACTGGTTACCAATGCAATCCCAAACGGGCTCAAAAGGACCACCCTTAAAAGCTCCTTTGTGAACTTGTGGCACTTAAAAGCCACAACACGTGGGTGCTACAAATTAAAGAATAAAATATCCAGGTGGAATTACTCTTTTATAAAAAATATATATAAAAAAAACAAGGACCTTGGACTTTATCACTTTAACACTAACGAATTAAAATCACAGTATACTCTTTTCTTCTTAATAAAAGTGGGGCCCCTCTCTGACTCTCTCTACCCCCTCCACATCGGAAATCTCCAACACCACCATATCATCGCCGGAATGTGGTTTTAAGTTGATTGCCCCTCTTCTACTCTATCTAGGTCACTCCCTCTCTCTCTCTCTTCTTTCAGCACTTTGATTTTTTTTTTTTTTTTTTTGCTCTCTTAATTTTTCCCTTTCAACCAGTGTGTATAAATGACAAGTTAAAATTTAAAAATCTTAAATAAATGGCAAAATAAATAACAATATTGGCACTCACTATGTGAAATATTCAATTAAATTAATATAAATATTACTCTTATTTTGTGTAAACATATCATTTGATTATAAATGTGATGACCGTGTCATCTTTTTCTTTTCTTTTTCCGGCATTTTTTTTATTTATATATTTATTTATTTAGTTATTTCTTTTCTTGTTGCCTTAGGGTTTTGTGGGACCCGAGGTAGGGTTTGGTATTCAGAATTGGTTTCCGACATTTCATGCATTCAATTTAATTTATTTTATTGTTAATGCATAGTTTAATTGTATAGCAAAGCATGCTAGTTATTTTCATTTCTTGGGGGTATAATTGCATTGTTTCTTTGGGAGACATCTTCCTTTTTGGGTTATTTGTGTGATTATCTTTTTTGAGATATTTTTGATTTAGGGACCTTTTTGTAATTTTTGAAAAGTTGTGACAATTGTCACCTTTTCCTTGAACCATGTGTTGATTTTTGTTTGGTGACATGTGGAGGACTTGGATGATGCCAAGTGTAGGGGGGATTTTAAGTTTAGTGATGATGCATTTGGTTGTGACAAGTGGAGGGTTGTGATTAAAGTGTGTGTGTAAGAGGTTGTGCTAGCATTGTTAAAGTGATATGTAAATCATTATTGTGAGTGGAAAATCTAGTGATTTTCTACATCTTCTTCTTCCTCTCTCTAAAGCCAACATGATACACTTTTTAGACCTCGACTTAACCCACCTTCCACACATCTCTTTGACTTCACTCTTGGAAGACAAAAGCTTCCTTACACCATTGTCTTCAACACCTTTTTCTTGGAATTCTTCTTACTCACTTTTCTTTTGGATTCTAGAGAGTCTTTTCTTTAGTGAGGTAGGGGGTGTACTATATATGTTTATAATCTTAGTGTTCTTTATGTTTCGAAGCTTGATATATATTGTATGCATGTTGTGTGCATAGTTGTTAAAGGCGCCAAAGGCGCGCGCTTGAGGCGCAAGGCGCCTCCAGGCGCCACCTTGGCACCTTGATTGACTTAAGGCGAGTGGTTTGGGACAGGCGCGCGCCTCTTAAACAAAGGCGCAAGGCTACAGGCGAGATGCAGGCGCGCCTGTGTGAAAAATGGGTTTTTTTTTTTAATTATCTTGGTTGTGTTACTTGTATCTGTTTATTATTTGTTTAGTTGTAGTTTTTATTTGTTTATTACAAAATTTACACAACTTGCAAGTTACAAAGCATAAAAAAAAAAAAAAAAAAGAAAAAAAAAGAAGAAGAAGAGAGAGAGCAAAAGGAAAGTGGAAAGAAGAGAGTCAAGACTGAAGATACAGAGAAGAGACAGAAGTACAAGTGATCTGCGAAGCGCGGAAGACTGGATCTGCCGGATCTGCATTTGCACCGAAGCCTGGTAAGTTCTCCTTCCCTCTCTTCTTCTTCTCTCCTTCTTGCTTCTTCTTCTCTTCTCAGCTCTCGGTTTTTTTTTTTTTTTTCTCTTTTCTTCTTCTTTTCTTCACTTCTTCTTCTTCTCTCGGCTCTAGTCACTCTCTTGCTCTTCTTCTTTCTCTTTTTTTTTTTTTTTTTTATTTTTTTTATTTTATTTTTTTTATTCTTCCTTGAGCCGAGTTTAGGCTCTTCTTTTTATTATTTTTTTTTTTCTTCTTTGAGCCGAGTCTAGGCTCATTTTTTATTTTATTTATTTATTTTTTCTTTGAGCCGAGTCTAGGCTCTTCGTTTTTATTTTTATTTTTTTTTCTTCTTTGACCCGAGTCTAGGCTCATTTTTTATTTTATTTATTTATTTTTTCTTTGAGCCGAGTCTAGGCTCTTCGTTTTTATTTATTTATTTATTTTTCTCTATTCTTCTCTCTTGGCTCTCTCTAGTCTCTTCTCTTCTTTTATTTTTTTATTTTTTATTTTTTATTTTTCCTCTATTCTTCTTCTCTCGGCTCTCTCTAATTTAACTTTCCTATTTCTAATTTTGTGGATTTAATAGGATATATTCCCAATGATATATGAGTGTAACTGATATTTTTAATTTGTTGATTTAATGGATTCTAGTAATCTAGTTCGTTGATTCAACTTAATTGTGTCACAATTTATTTTGCCTCATCTTTCTAATATGCCGATAATTAGTGAATAATGATAATTAGTGAGATAATGATGTGTTGGTAGTTGGCTTACTCACCTAAATTTGTCAAAAAAATAATCTGAATCTATTTACTTCATACTTTATATAGAACAATCAATGCGTTTCTGCTTTGTGCATGAAATTTCTTTAGTTGAACACACTTGGATCATCACATCACCCATTCCTTGTAATCCCAATTGCACAGTCTCTCACACACACAACTGCAGGTCTTCATTGCATCATTAAATTAACCTTGTCACCAATATAAGATCAAGGTTGAAGGTGCATCAGTCTACACTTACCAAATTCGGTTTTTTTTGGTCTGTGCAAATACAAAACCACAGGAAAAGCAGAGTTATAAACTTACAAGAATATATATGGACAGGAGTAATGAAATTAACTAATCTATATACATATTATTTTAATATTGGTTCGTAGACTTACATCTAGCAAACATGGATATCAAGGTTTTGGTATGTTGAATATTTAACTTAAGTAATTTATTTAGTTGACTTTTGCATATTTATATTTACTATTGCATCTTTAATACTTTATTCGGTGGGTTTTTTATTTTTATTTTTTTTTCAACGTGCGTCTCGCTTCATGATAAGCGCCGAATAATGTATATTCAAGCGCCCTAAATTAAATTAACAAAGTCCAGTTATTAATTATTTTATGTAGATTAACTCCAATTCTATGTTTTTATACATTTTCAGGTTCATTGGCCAAAATGGAACAAGAATAAGGCCTTGTGGAATCTTGAGCAACAAAAGGTGCCAATGCTGAATTCTGGCAGCAGTAGAGCCTGGACTTTGCTTGCCATTTTGACCTTCCAAACTCGAGAACTGGACTTCCCTCATAACATGAAAGATTTAGAGCTCTGAATCAGCTTTCCAAATCTTCAAGTGGTTCATCATTCGGAGTTCGGAGCAGAGAGTTATGATCTTCACAACAGAGGTGCGCAGAACTGCCTAGCAGCACTGATGTACTGCCTTTCTCCCCATTTTCGACCAACCAGACTTGAGATTTGGGTCTTCATCAAAACATAAAGTTTTTAAAGCACTGAATCAGCTCTCCAAAGCTTCAAACAGATTGTCATTCGGAGTTCGGGGCACAAAGTTATAGCAGTTT